CTGGCGCTAGAATAAAAATCTATTGCACTCCAAAGAGAAAGAAGAGCCTCCTCTTAAGAAAAATCTTTGAAGTCAGTGGCTACAAAGTCACGAGAGAGGCAGTCAAGGACCACACTTGAGCAGAGGCTGTTTCAGAGGGCAGGCAAGTCGGGCTCTGGGTGGTCCCACTCCAGCCTCTGGTTCCACCATCAAATTCTCTGCATCCCACATCCTCCAGCCTTATGCAGAGTGGGTGGAATCTCAGATCCTCCGGCCACCCTGCTGGGTGGAAAGCACCCAAGGGCCCCCCAGCCCCAGCTGAACTTTGGTGCAGATGGAGCCGCAGTCCAGGGACAGCCTGAATCTCAGGCCCAGGGAACTTTCCCTCTCGAGTCCAAAAGGGCAAACCGCTTGTCAAGAACATTCTGAGATCATAAAACACCTTCCAGCCATGAGTAAATAACAAATAAGGGAACACCCAAAGCAGGCTCCACTGGCCGGTTCATTTACACAGCACGATCAGCGTGGATTTCTGGCAGTGACACCTGCCACTGCGCTGGCACACCAGGGAAGGGGGAAGACAGCGATGGGGGAACCGTTCAGGGTGTCCTTGCTCCAGTTCTGACGTGTCCCCAGGAGGAGGGGTCGGGAGGCAATATAAAGAGGACTGAAGGGTCAGTGACATGTGCTGAGAGCTTCCTCCTCCAATGGGGACAGACAGGGCGTCTTGCTCCTGGGAAGAACGTCCCTTGCCTGAATTTGCCAGAATGGGGGTACACAGGGCTTAGCCCCCGCCCTCATGGAAGACGAGGTCTGTCCTTAGCAGAGAGGGGGGCCTACAAGGCCTGGGGGTGGGGGCAGCAGGCCTCCCAGCCGAGCCCCCATCATTCAGCCACAGAGCCCTGTCTGTGCCCTAAAGCAAGGCTGGGACTCTGACTGCCGGCTCCCCAGAATCTGACCCCAAGGGCTGGATATTCCCAGGAGGACAATGGTGGCCAAAGCGCCCAAGAGGGTAGGAGCAGGCTCCAGCCCAGCCTCCGCCAGACCTCACCAGGTGGCCTTGGGCACGGCTTCAGCCATCTCAACTGAAAAGGCCTCTGGCAGTGAAGGAGCCAGTGCCCTCGTCTCCAGGACTCCCTTGGGACCATGAGGACTTGCCACCCACGAGCACAGGGCCCCCGCGGAGTCGGGAGGGGATCTCCAGGAGTCTGGAGGAGCAGCAGCCTCTTGGCCTCAGGTTCTGCCAGCAGGCCCAGTGCGTCAGACATGCCAGGAAGGTGCAGGTGGGGAGAACGCCCAAAAGGCCTTCACCTGCCAGCCAGGTGAGGGCCGCACCCTGGCTGGGCCGGACTTCTAAGCAGAGCAGGTATGAAAAGGAAGCTTTGTGTGGCTCCTCCTAGGGCCCCAGGCTGCCCTGCTGGGCGGGGGCGCATCTGCAAGCTGTCTGCCCTGGGAGCCTCTCTGGCTCCAAACGGTGGGGTTGCTGGAGGGGACCCAGCCCCCTCCCTGCAGTGAGCCTGAGCCTTCCTGGCAGTCCCGGTGGGGCAGGCCCTGTGAAGCCCTTCTTCCTAAGCTCAGCGCCCGGCCCCTCCCCTGTGATCTCTCCCATCTCTGAGACTTCGCCCTTCTCTCATTTTGCGATAAAAGCAGAAAGAAGCCAGGGGAATGAAAACATGGACGGTCATAGAGAGATCTCACAGCCATGGGCAAGTTCAAATCCCACACCCTTAGCAACGCCTCTGACACACAGTCTCGTGTGTGTGTGTGTGTGTGTGTGTGAGAGAGAGAGCACATGTGTGCACACACATGTGCACACTAGAAGGCATTGGCGTGGAGGGGGCATCCTGCAGCGGGGCTGTCCAGTGACCCTACGATGCCTCCTCCAGCCTCCCTCCCCTTCCATGGCCAGACAGGCAAGGCCCTGCCGGATTCACACCTGGTTCAGCCTCCCTAGCCTGCCTTTGGCCTCAAGCCAGTGGAGAAGCCATGTGGCCAGGTGTGAGTGCCAAGCTTACTCGCTTGTTGGCTCTCTGCCACCTGTATCCAGTGACAAGGCCATCCTCCACCTGTCTTGCTTCCTCCAATTCAGTCAAGGCTGGACCAAGGCCACCAACAGAGGACCAGGTGCACAAGGCCTTCCAATGCTCTGCTGACCCACCCACTGGCCCTTGGCTCCTGAGAGGCCACTCACAGCCACTCAGGGGAGAGGCCCAGCACACAGAAAGGACACAGACCCTGCCACTGCCTGGCTCACGTGTGGCGCAGATATGGGCCCTGATGACCTTCAAACTTAGCATTGCCTGTTCACAGAGGTAGCGAGAGGGGTGGAGAGCTCCAGGCACGGGCAGGGCAGCTCTAGAAGGAGGAGCCGAGTGCTGCCCGGGAGGCTGGGGGGAAGGAACGCAGGCCTAGTCCACAGGGTGCCAAGGAGCCAAGGCTGTTCATTGGCTCCAAGCCTGCCACTCATCTGCAGAGAGCACCATGCAAGGTGCCTTGGCAGCCTCTGTGCGCCGAGAGTGCCATCTGCAGGGAGAAGGGGACAGTGCAGGGGCCCCCACTGTCCAACAGAAATGCGCTAAGCCCTGATTAGAGGCACAGAGGCAAGCTAGAACTTTCTAGTAGCCATATTAACAAAAATAAAACTGAGCAGGTGAAGTTAACAAAAGACACCAGGATTGCAACAAGTAATCAGTACAAGACATTAGGAGTGAGCTTTTTCACATTCTTTGAAATGTGGTGTGTGTTTGCACTTTTAACACATCTTGAGTCGGACCAGCCACATCATAAGTGCTCTTCAGCCCCCGGAACCTCGTGGCCTCCGCATCAGACAGCAAGGCTCTGGACAGCAGCCAGCAGCAAAGGTCCTCCCCCTGCCTCGGTGAGCACAGAACCCGGCCTCCTGCTCCCGGCTCACTCGCCACCTTACCTGTACTGAGGCTCTTCTCTCTCCGCCCTGCTTGCTAACAAAGGCAGAGGTACATCCTCATAACAAACAGATCAAAGGGTCTGACTTTTTAAGTACCTTCAAGAAAAGACTTGCTAAGCCCCTGCCTCTCCACTCAGGTGGCTGAGATACAGGTGAGGCTGTACCTGGTCGCAAGGTGACGTCACCAACAGCACCATCATCACCTCTCTTTTGCCAAGGGCAAACTGGTGGTCACACATGAAACAGCACTTACCTGAAGTATCACCTTAGGAATTTAAAATTAGGAAGGACGGCCATGGGAAGATGCCACAAAATATTGTTCAAGAAAATGTCAGGTTGTAACATAATATAATCCCGTTTTTGTAAAAAGAAAAAACCTCAACACATTAGCCATATGTTATCTTCACAGAGAGGCAGTCGGAAGGATTCTGCCAACTACTGATGGGATTTATCTCTCCGGGAGACAGGGGGATGGGGGACTCAGAAAAGCGCCAACCCCAGTGGTGTGAGGTGGGACACAGCCACGCGCACGCCCCCCAGCCCATTCGTGAGCTTCTCGCCTGTGTGTGTGGATGGCCCTTCCTCAGAGACCCAGTGGCCCAGGAACACATTGGGGGCCTGGGGCAAGGTCAGTGCCTTCTCAGTTTACAGGGGCAGGGCTGAGACTGGCCAAAGACCCCAACTGAGGCTACACTGAATCGGAGCAGACTTGTTTTTCCCCCTAAGACACCAGAAGCAGCAGCCAAGTGCAGAACACTTTATAGCTCTCGCCTTCCACCTCGCTCTGAGCCACTCCACTGTGTTCCCAGTAAGGAGGCACCACTCTGGTGCTCGTGAGTCCAAGGTGCTCAGTGAGCTGCGCTGGCTCCTGATGAGATGGCACCAGGGGCTGGGCAGCACCATGTGGCAGAGCATCAACCAAAGGACACCCCGTCCCACTGCTCAGCAACTTTCGGGGGAGGGGAGTTGGGGACCTTCGGGGCTCCAGGCTGGCCTCTCGGAGAGAGTGTTTACAAGATTTTGACTGGGGTCTCCCTCACTCTCTCAGGCCAAACGTAGCAGAGGAACCCCAGGAAACTCTCGTGTGAGGAAGAAAGGAGGTCCATATTTGAGGTGGCTTCAAGGTGGCCTCTGACACCCTAGGAGGTCCAGAAGAGGGCTGGGGGGAACTGTCTAGCCCCTGACTCCAGGTGCACTGAGACTTCCTCACTCACCTGTGTCCATCTACCCGCCCCAAACCCAAAGGCACCCTGTGTTTCTCGGGACTGATACAATCCATCCGCACTCCCTACATCCAAATAACCCCGGGTAACCATGTTTTAACTAAGCCATTCCAGCACCCACAAAATTGTAGTTTTTCTGAGTGGGCACAATCAAAACCATCTAGAATAAGGCAAGACAACACCCTGACGTCTGCAACACTCTCAAGGGTGAGCAGGCCAGACCCGGACACCGCAGGGCACTTCCACGCGCTGCAAGCATCCCATCCCCAACAGGCGCCCGTCAGTGCAACCTGCCCGACGCCAGCCTGACTTCTGATCAGGTGAGGAAAACACAGCTCCTCCAGAGATGGAGGTTTGGCTCCAAAGTGTCCCTGACTCATCCCTGACCACGGACCTGCTGTCTCCAGGTTCTCTGTCTCTCACTGAATGGAGACGGTGAAGGAAAAGGAGGGGGACGGTGACCAGAGGGGCTGGGCGCCCAGGAGCTGTAACCTCTGTGCACAGTGGAGCATCAGCTGCGTTGCAGAAAGGAGCTCGGCCAAGTTCAGCCCAGCTCTCTGCAGGCAGCGGGCTCCACGGCCAGAGCCTTCAATCCGTTATCTCCGCACTAGGCTCGATTCAAATCTCAGTTTAGAAACTCAGACCTTGTATCAAAAGCTGCTTTATCTACCACTTTCTGCTACAAAAAGTCATCCAGGCCCATCCTTGGGGGACAGTTACATAAACATCATCGGCTGCCCACATACTGCTCTTCCATTTGGAAAGTGTAGCCCGTTTTATTTTGGAGAAGAAAAGAAAATGAAAACCTGGCCATCCCAGGAATCCACGGAGGCAGGCAGGCAGATGAAGCCGGCCTCAGGTGAGGCACTCACCTGTACTTCCCCGTCCGCACCTGCAGAGCCCTCATCCCGCACCGCTGGGCACCGCCGACGTCGCCCACGATATCATCTCCGATCATGATGGCCTGTCGTGCAGGGAGAGGCACTCAGAAGTCATGTCAGGAGAGTTTTATTCCTTCATTTTTTTGACACCATAAACCTCTTGATTTGATGTTTGAAACCACCATCATACAAATTAAACAAGGTAACACTGTCACTGTATTGATTAAAAGTCAACCCACCTTGAATATATCTCCCACTGCCCGCCATGGGCCGAGGCTCTGAACGGTGCATATTTGGGCAATTTAAAATCAATCAGTAGGTACCAAAGTGAGCTGGTGCCACAGGGACACATGGGGAGGCTCACACTGTCTCACCACTACTTGAACACAGGCTGAATTTTACCTTCAGCTAAACAGTGTGTAACCAGGTTATTCTCCCAATTGTTGGTTCTGTGAAAACTACGTGAATTTCTGGCAAATCTTTGTAGCCCAAGTTTAGACGGTTTTGCTTTCAATAGTGAAGATACAACCTATAAAAAGCAAGATCTGGAAGGACCAAACTGTTTCCAAGTGCTTTAACAAAGAAAAAAGCACAAAAATATTTATGGGCATATAGAAAGGTAAAGTTCACAACATCTGGCATCCCAGTTGAAAAATGATCAGACATGCAAAAAAAGACAAACAGTACACACAATGAAGAGGGAAATGAATCAAAACTGACCTGGAACTGACACAGCTGTGAGAATTAGCAGACAAGGACGTTCAATCAGTTATTGTAACTGTATCCATATGTTCCCAAAGTAGAGACACAGAAGGTAAAAGAAAAGATCCAAATCAAGGTTCTAGAGATAAAAACTACAATCTTTAAAACAAACAAACAAACAAAAAACACTGATGGAATTAAAGCCAGACTAGACAATGCAGAAGAAAACATTAGTGAACTTGAAGACACAGCAACAGAAACTATCCAAAATGAAACACAGGGAGAAAAACTAATTTCTAAAAAATGAACAGAGAAACAGTGAGCTATGACAGCACTTCAAAGGGCCTAGTGTAACTGGACGCCCTGAAAGTAAAATGAGAGAGGAAGAGACAGACACAACACTTGAAGAAATAATGGCTCAAAAAATTTCTAATTCAACAAAAATGATAAATCCACAGCTCCAAGATTCTAATCAACACCAAGAACAAGAAACACAAAGAAAACTACATCAAGGCACAACACAATCAAATTGCTCAAAATCAGTGACAAGAAAAAAAAACTTAAAAACTGGAGAGGAAAAAAAAAGGCATGTACAGAGAAACAAAGACATGAGACTTCTCATTGAAAACAATGCACATGAGAAAACAGCGGAATACCATCTTTCTGGAGCACCGTCTTAAAAGTACTGGAAGTGGGGGGAGTGCTTACCTAATACACTATATGCAGCAAAATTATCTTTCAAAAGCAAAGGTGAAATAAAGGCATTTCCAGACATCTAAAGCTATAAGACTTCGTCACCAACAGATCCACACACAAGAAATGTAAAAGGAAGTCCTTCAGGCAAAAGGAAAATGGTACTAAATAGAAATATGGCTCTACATAACAGAATGGACACCTCTGGAAAGGATGCCCAGGGGCACATGGTGACCTTTCTAGCCTTTCATCCCTCAGCTCAGATGGCCACCACCTTTCAACCCCGAGGCTGGGTTCTGGGGCCCTCCCAAAGTGCTCTGTGATTACCCCCTTGCATTGCGTGCACCTGCTGCTTTATAATGGTCATTCATCTCACTCCTCCAAGAGGTGTGAGCCCCTTGAGGGCAGGCTCTGTGCTAATCCTGGCACTCAGCTGATGATTGACACAAGTTTGTTGAGTGAGTCAGTGGTGGTGGGAACATGGTGAGTCACAAACATAGTCCCCACTCTCATGAAGTTCACAGTCAAAGGCAGGTAACTGCACAAACACATAGCCAGGGAGGAAAAGCGCAGGGGGCTGTGAGGCTTGACCTCATGGGGTTGATGGTGGTCAGGGAAGGCTTCCTAGAGGAGGTGAGATTTTGCGCTTCAATCTCAAGGGCAAGAGAAGTCAACCAGGTTAGGGGGTTTACGGGAAGGGGTCAGAGCCTCCCAGGCAGGAGATCACATTTATACCAACGACCCATCTGCCACCGTTCACCAGGGCAGGCCACACAATAAATTCCCAAAAGCACAGATCAATAAGCTTGAAGCGAATGTCCTTGGAAACTTCTCCCCAGCAGGCCTTCAAATAAAGAGGAATCATGAGGAGCTTGTGGAAAACGACAAAGGCTGAGCTGGGGCCGCATCAGGGAGGTAATTTCAGGTAAATAGGAGGCTTTTCTAACAGTCAGCAGGGGATGCCTCAGAGGGACCAGGCCCCCATCACTTAAGGACACTCAAGCAGAGGCCAGAGGGGAGGGATATAGTTCAGTGGTAGAGCCCACGTGCACAAGGTCCTGGGTTCAGTCCCCAGTACCTCCATTAAAGAAACCAAAAAAAAAAAAAACAAAAGAAACAGAAAGCAAAAAAAAAAACAAAAAACAAAAACAGGCAGAGGCCACAGGGCCTCCATCAGAGAAGCTACAGGGGGACTCTGGCCCCCAGGAGATCTTGGGCAACACTTGATGCCCACAGTGCCGAGAATTCTGCCAGCGGCAAGGAGCCACACCCGCTGTAAGATGTACCTGAAATAAACTGCATTTCTTCCCAGTGAATATTCTAAACTTCATACTTTTCACTAATTTTCTCTGATCTTTCCTCTGCGTTAATGCACGTTTCCCCAAGAATGTTATGCGTACTGGGCATACATACAGTATTTGGTTTGAGGTAGAATAAGGACGTGCATCTTTAATGTAATTGTTTGAATTTATTTTTAGAGTAATCTATTTATGGTGAGTGGTTCTGGTTTTCCATTTACAGCAGTGATCAAAAGTTCCTTTTAAAATACATTGAAGTTTATAAAGTGAATCAACTTAAACCAACTTTAAGTAAATCCTGCCACTAAGGACGAGCACCCAGACATGGTAAATTTGGAATTTCTTTTTCCCTAGAATGACCGATGCTGGGGAAAACACTGCCAAGCCCAAATGGGGTTAGTTTCGTGTCTACGAGCCCTCACACAGCTGTGTGGAATTACCAATCACCCAAGCAGCAGCAGCCAGTGGAAACGCGTTTCCCTGGAGTGGGGGCAGCCACAGAGACCACTGTGAGTCCAAGGGTACCTGCAAAGCCAGGGTCACCTGGGCGACCACACTGCTCACCAGAGAGGGCGGGGGCAGGGGAGCACCTGGCTTAGGCAGCCAGGCCAGCCACAAGCCCCAGGATGGGATCTACTTTGCATTTCTCAAGGAGTTGTCTTGACACTGCTGGGTCAGCCTCTGAACATCCACAGCGTTCCAGCTGTCCGTTACTGGGGGCTGTATTGCTAGAGAGTGCCTTGGAAATGAAACGAGTCTTCCACTTATTAAATGTCATGCCTGGCATCCTCCAAGCTCTGGGTAAAATAAAATTTTGTGCATGCACACATGTGCTTGTAGCAGAAATTCCCAAGGCAGCAGAAATCCCTCCCGCTACAGAATATTGACTCCCAGGTCTACCCGGGCGAGGACATTTGTCGATGTGGCCAGTGGAGACGGACCCAGAGCAATCTGGGCCCTTGGAGGAAGAATACGGAGCAGGAGCAGCAGCGGCAGCAGCGGTTCTGCATGACAACCGCTGCCCAGGCCGAGGCAGAACCCAGAGCCCGGTGTGAGGGGCGGGGGCCGGGGGCGCCAACGGTGTGCAGCCGCCCGGCGCGGTGATGCCTGTCTGGCCAGCTTGTGGGCTCCGCATACCTAAACGCCTCGGGCCCCTGGGAATCTCACAGATTTACTGTCGGTGAAGGGCAATAATCACACAAGGAGGAGCAATTATTGCCAAATCATTTAGGATTTAAAAAATCATTGGCAAGAAGATAGAGGTCAAGAGGTGCGCTGTCGGGGGAAATAAAGAAACCCTACCTGTCAGGCCTGGGCTGCACTTCCTTTCTGACTGCAGTATGGCTCAGGGAAGACGGAGACACACGCCAAGAGGTCGGATGGGACGGAGATCTGAGAGCCGGAGGCGCCACCAGACCCCTTTAGGCGGGTTTTCGGGTTTGGGTTAAAAAAATTTATTTGCCCTTCTTAAATACTGGTCTGTCTGCCCTCGTCTCCTCTTCACCATCCCAGGTGCCAGGGGAAGAACCCGTCCTCACAGGGGGCGATGTTTGGAACACACACTTTCAGTGCCAAAGGCTTTCCCAAGAAAGCCCATGCTTTCTGAAGTTTCTAGCCATCCCGGGGCTCTGCCGGGAGGGGCACTTCTCCCTCCCACGGGGCAGCACACAGCAGGGCTGGTGAAGGAGCAGTGGGTGCAGCCTGCACTTCAGCCCCGGGGACACACCCCCGGTCGCAGAGGCCTCGAGAGGACATCTAGCACTGAGAAGAGCCCGAGACCCTCCGTCTGCAGGCTCAGAGCAACCAGGCCTTCTCGGGCACCTGGGGGTGCTCAGCACTAAAGAATTTCCCCCACTGTCTGACATGTTCATAAGAAGTAAGATCAACACAGCAAAACTCAAAGAAATTATTTTATAAAAAGTAAGAAACAATGGTGCCGGTGAAGATGCTGGGAAATGAGTACATGCATATATTGCATATACAGCTGGTAAGGAGGCTGAACTGACACCACGTTTCTGAAACAGAAATAAACAACGTGCACCATGGCCCGACAACTACGCCACTAGGATTTCTAAGAAAATAATTTGAAATGCACAAAAGGATGTATGTACAAGGGTTATGTACAAGGCAGAAACTGGAAGTAATCTAAATGTCCAACAATAGGGGATGGGTAAAGTACATTACGGCAGTAAGGATGGGAATACAGCCTGGTGCTTAAGAAGGTTATGGTCGTCCATATGACGGAATGCTATGCAGCAAAAATTACTCTGTGGAAGTGCTTGCATTTCCACGAAGGAAACTGTTCCCAACACAATATTAAGGGGAGGGGGGGATCAGGTTTCAAATAGCAGGTACAGGATTATCCCAATTTTGTCTTAACAATGTATATA